AGCTTGCGCTCGCCCTTGCGCGCCCTGGGTGTGCACTTCTTATGCGACCGAGCTTTCGCTAATTGCCCTCCTGGTCCTAGTATTGTCAAAAAAATACCCACCAAAAGAACAACGCTCAGCTGCTGGGGGGTGCTGGGTGCGACTGGGCTTGAGTTTGTCCTTGGATGATTTCGGCTGTCAGCGCAGTGAAGGGGCTTAGGTACCAAAACAACCCGCGAAGCCACAGGAGGCGCATCACCTTAGGTGTGAGCGTTGGGTGCCTGAAGTGCCGAAGCCAGCAAACTCCCGAACTCGGAACTTCAAATGTCTTCAGGGCCATTCAGACAAGGCTCCTAGCTCACAAACTCTCAACACCATTCAAGAGACTCCTGAATGCCGAAAGCTATCTCGGCCCTGCACCAGCGCCTCCTCCCGCCATCTGCCAGGGTTCATACTTTGTGTTGGCCGTGTTGCCGGCCTGGAAATTCACATTGCTGAGAAGCAACAGTCGAAACTATGGTGCTGTGAGGGCTTCGGGTATCGGATGCTGTTGTCAATCCTGAGCAAGGAGGGGTAACAGCCCCCCAAGCAAAGGTTTGCAGTACTTGAACCAAAATGGCTACTCACACACTCTCTCTCTCTCTCTCACTCTCGCTCAATCAACAGAAACTGAGGCTCTGTCGCAATGGGAAATCGAGAAGTGATCGTTGTCTATGGCTCCCAGGCGGAAGTTGCCCAACTCGATGAAGTTTTCGCCCAGTCCTGCGGTAACGTTTGTGTCCAATTCCTGGAGATCTTACAGTAAGTTAAGCCACACTATAGACTCTAGAAGCTTAAGCCACACTATAGACTCTAGAAGCCCCTTAAGCCACACTATAGACTCTAGAAGCCCCAAAACATGAAACCTGAGCCGGATGCAGATTTTCAAGTCGAACCCTTGTCCGAGCTCATGGATCAACTGCTGCTTGTCGATCCACTGTTTCACGCTCGGCATTGCTTCTTTTTTTGGCAGAATCTGAGTCGAGGGCTTTAGAGGTGGGCTTCATCTCATCTTGTAGCTGCATACAACAGAACAGCAAAAAACTTCTGTACTAAGTTGAGCCGGAAACTCTCGTAATCTCAGCGTCGGATGAAGGCAGCCTGCCTACATGCTTGCATCCAAGCTCTCGCGCACACGGAGAAGTTGAAAAGCCAGGTGTCCTTCTCTTCCGCAGATTGAAGCGAATTAGGCGTTGCACCCTCATGTAGAGGCGTCATGGGTTTGGGGGTTTTCAAAAGCACTGCTCGGCCGACGGGGATCGTGTATGCTTCCACACAGAAGACTTTGTCCACAGCCAGCGCGACGGGCTTGCCGCCGGCCAAGTTGAGATTCCTCGTATAGGGCTGAAGCCGGGATTGCGATCACCCCACGATTGCCCGCCCGAGCTCAAAACAGAAAACCATCTGCAAGGGACCCACAAATCATCAAATCCAACACAGCGCTGCATCTGCAAGCGGAAGCCACAGTCAGACCCTGTCACTGCCTTTTTTCCCCGAGGCTGCGAAACCCAAAAGCAAGCATGTATGGCTGCTTTTGCACTAGGAGCGACAGAGAAGATCCCAGGATCACTCGATAGTCTTCACAAACCCTACCCAATCGTTCGAGTCTACAGCGACCAAGTGTCAGGTCCGGGATTATGGAGGTGAGTTTGTTTGCGGCTGTCTCGGCTGCTTTCTGCAGGCCCTTCTCGGCCACCTTGCTGATTTGGCTGAGTCCCGGGACGCAACCCGCGACGGCGGTCAAGGCCTTCGCCAATGCTCAGCTCGGTTCATTCTGACTTTCGGGGTTCCGGGGCAGCGGGTGTGTGGCATTAGATGCCAAGTACCAAAAAAAGGCATCGACCACAAGACTTCACAGACAGGGCTAGGGAGCCTTGAACGCCATCATCCCGCTTTCCATCATGGAATTCATGAGTTCCTTGATGATGTCCCGGGGAGTGAAACCTCGGCTGCACAGAAATTGGCCCTGATTCTAAAAAGCAAGCGCGTCTAATTGGCAACAGTGAAAATCCCCTTGGCTTCTGGACTCGGATCCCTGATCGGGGGATAGATGTGTCACAATGCTTCAGTACTGCAGATGGTAACAGCTCGAAACCTCAATAGCTCGACGTCCAAGCAACTGAAGTCGAAACCCACCGGGAATCCAAAGGCTGTGATGCCGGTGTCGATGTAGATATTCAGCGCCTGCTTGCTGATTATGTGGCTCGGAACGCAAGGGCTCGAGCTCCAACTCGGACAGGCCAGGCGGAATGAGGTCTGAGAAGCAGGAGCAGCTTGATTACACCGCCGGCCCCAGAGGAGGAACAACCAAAAACATCCACTGACTGCAGCATGCAAAGACAAGGTCATATAGGGGCCTTGATCCATTGATAGTTAGGATGAGGCTTTGGGTACTTCATCACCAACTATTAAACTGCGAATACTAATCATTCCGACCTCTATAATATGGGCTTCCAGGTTGTCAAGACACCACAAGCTGCTCTAAGAGACGCAGCGGAATTGAAGATGAGTGTCAAAATAATTCAAGTAGGTTTGCGGGATATATTCTACGACAGTAGCAATACTAAGGTTGTGTCGGGATACTACTACGACTTATTCGGACCTCTATATTCCCCAGCACGGCGGCAGACTTCTAGGTGTTGGCCCAGATTCGGGTCACCAACATCGGACGGTTCAGAGACTCCCCAAAAGCCCTTGTGGATAGCTGACAAGGTCGTGGTAATGGGCTTCACAGGCCTAAGGCCTAAGTGATCGGAATACAAGGAAAACCCGTGAAACTGAGTTGATGGCTGCGGCAGCACACATCTTCAGCATCGATGAGCCGCCGGAGGTGCTCTTGGACGAAACAGCGTCCTTTCGATGAATCGCAAATTTCGCGATAAAGCCACGTAAGCCGCATATCCGAAAGGGTTGATGCTGACAGTTCTTGGCTGTCTAAGCTGCGGCTTGATGCGGCATCACGAAACCAGCTTGGGCAACAGTAGAAGCACAGTCAATGCATGCTGCATGGTTACGCACCCAAAGCAAAAGGCGAGAAGTGTTGACGTGGAAAATGCCACTATCTGTGGCAAGCAGCCAGCAGGTGGCCAACGTTCAAAGCCCCCAAAATGTGCACTATCCCTCGATTGCAAACCGGCTCAACTCACACATCCTGGTATGTCTCACTCTCCGCCACCAAGCTGATGTTTGATGGAGGCGAAGCTTCAGGCTCCTCGCGAAGCGTGGGTTTGGTGAGGAAAAGGACACACTGCATGCATGAGCAGGAGGAGGAGGAGCGATTCAAAAACAATCACACAAGGAAGCCCGGAAAAAATCACTACAAGGATGGACGTTCCTAGTCGCTTGCACGACAAGCGAACATGAATTTTGTTCACATCCCAAAGTACTGTTGAGCAAGCGGAAAGGTCCTGGATGAGGAAGAGGCCGGCAGGTCCATACTTGATGTCGCCTTGCGCCCTGAGCTCCAAATTGAGCATCGGGTTGAAGTTCACGGGCGCGCCCGGCACCGGAAAGATCTCAGATTTCGACTCTTCCCGACTCAGGCTCTTCTAGCTCTAGCAACTCTAGCAAGGAAAGGTCTTCTCCGATCCGAGGGGCCACGATGAAGGGTCCGGCCCCCAGGCGCACGGAGCCGAAGGCACTGGCCCCCATGGCAAAAGCCGCCTGCGAAAGCAGAGGAAATCGAAAGCAGTGATGTCAGGGTCTAGGGTTTGGGGTTTAGTTTAGGGTTTAGGGTTTTAGGGTGATGTGTGTCGCGGCTTCGCTAACGGTACTTAGGGAGGCGCTTCCTCTTGCCGGGCCTGGCGGTCGACGGATGGAGCCTTGAACTCCGCGGTGGCTTTGCCCGTGGTCTTGTCGAGCGTGACGGAGCCTGAGATGTCGAATCCCACCTCCGCACCCAGCTCGACGGTGCCTGTTAGGACTCCACTGACCTCGAGCTGCGCGACCATCTGCACCATTATGATGATGCAGAACGCTTTGTAGCAAACGATCTTCTTCTTGGGTACCTTCGGAAAGCGCTTCTCGGCTGTGAGCTTGCAGCTGCCCTGAGCCTTGATCATCCCATCCAAGGAGACACCGATCGCGCCTGAGATGCTGATCGTGGATTTTGGGCCGCTGGTGCTCATTTCAAAGGTCAGGGCATTCTGCACATGGCCCTCGATGGCCATGTCGATGCTTGTCTCGCAAGATCCGCTGGGAGCTCCCGACATCTTGTTCTTCAAGCCACCCTTGGTCGGTTTGAAAGCCTGCTTGACCTCTGCCTTCTTCTCCTCGAAGATCTCACCGGGGAGCTGTAGCTTGCCGAGCTTCTTCGGGCCGAATGGCAGTCCTGGCTTCGCCTTGAAGCCGACACCCACGCCAAATCCTGCAGACTTGCCAATGATGCACTTCAAGACCAACTCCCCGTCGTCGAACCGAACGGAGCTTCCGGAAGGGCAATCGCACCTGTCGCCAATAAGGATCGGACACATCAGGCCGTTGTCGTCCAGGCAGTTCACGAATTTCTTGATTTCACTTAGTTGCATGGGATGGCTGAAATGGTTCTGGGGCTGAGTAGCTAGGACAGTACAGGGGCGCCATTTAGGCTCTGGTTTCGCTAGCGGCACAGATGATGCGTCGAGAACCGCCATCTGAAAGCATCCATGCGTTTATCGAGCAGATTGTACAAAGAGGTAAAAATCCGTTTCTGAACTGCTGCCTTCGAACAAAAGAACGGGGGCCTCCGAGGTGAAACTACGGTTAGAGACCCGAAAATGGGAACTCTGAGTCATGCCAACCTCGCGTCATTCCCGCACATTCGACACATATCTTGCTAGAATCCCAAGGCTGTCTTGCTAAACCCCCAACTTTTACCTGCAAAGAAGGACCCCTAAACCCTAAACCC